CCATAAGCAGAAGAAATACAACAGGCTTAGCCTAGGTTTACAGCTGGTCAGCTCAAAAAGCAAGTGAGGTGAAATCTCCCGACTGAGGTCAGCTGGTGGATATTTTAGGCAACAAAAACAAGGATTTCCTGTCTTGGGCTGTAGGTGGAACATTTAGATTAAGATGCTGATCTTAAATATGATAGACTAAAATTAAAATTAAAAATTAAAGCTAAAGACCATTTTAAAACAGTCCTTCATAAAGAATTAAAAAAAAACCCTCTGCATTATATAAAATGACTTTTCAGTAATTGTGTACATAATATGCTTAAAAATCTCGTTCACGAAAGTGGGTTCAAAGTAACAGGCCTTACAGTATTTATAATACTAGGCATGTCCTGTGAAATAAGGAAACCTAATGGATGATCTCATAATAAATGATAAACTAATAAATGCATGAAAACAAAGCCATTTTAGTGCAATAACAAAGCAATATAAAGACAGTCCTCTATTACTGTTTTGGTATATGCAGATATGCACAAGCACTTATCTGTGGAAAGATTTTTAGCATGCTAAATAAGAAATATTGAATGTCCCTTATGTCACTAATTTTCAGTAAAGGTTACAAGCTAATTTCTTTTCCCCACATACCTAAAAAAAATTACTGTACTGTAATATCTGAAAGACAAAATGTAATTCGAAAAAAAACAAATTATCTTTCATGCCATTTTTTGTAAAAAGGTCAAAGGAATTTAAAGAGAAACAAAGTGCGTTATAAAACATTCAAAAAAGAGCCAGGGAGCAGTTAAAGGAAAAGTGTATAATGAACTGCCAATACAGTAAAAAATAAAAGGTATACTGCAAAGAACCTGAAAAAAAGACAGTATTTCCATATAACAAAAGCAAAGAATGATAAAGGGTTAACCTCTTCCAACAGTGATTCAATACAAATCCACTGATTGGAAAACAACATGAGCAGCACATATCAATAAAAACAACGTAACCAAACCAAGTAATTACAGATCAATAAGTGCAACATAGGGTGGCATGGTGGTTAGCATTTCTGTCTCGCAGCACTGAGGCCCTGGGTTCAATTCTCATTTTGGGGTGCTGTTTGGGGTTTGTGTTCCCTGTGTTCACGTGGGAACCCCACGACCCCACGTCAACAATATACTGGTTAGTGGGAAATTGGCCCTAGGTGTGAGTGCGTGTCTGTGTTTATGTCTCTATCTGCCCTGTGTTGGACTGGCATCTCTAGCTCTGGGTATACCCTGCCTTACCCCGCCTGCTTGCTGGGATTGGCTCTGGCTCCCCTGTAAAGAAGGAATTAGAAAACGGATGGATGGAAGTGCAACATAAGCGTATGATACGGTATATTTAGATTTTCAGATGGCGCTAGTAAAACTTCCCAGAATGGAACAGAACAAAAAACTATCTGCCAGCACGCACTTTGCCACTGAAAAAGGAGCAGCGCAAAACCGAAAACAACAGGAAGCATTTTAACTGTGATTCCTAACCAATGAGTGATGTTATATGAGGGCATCCCAATACCCAAACGCTGCATCCTAAGTCTACTCCTGCTCTATGTCACAAACGTGCTGTCCTGAAGGAAGGGCTTAGGGCTTAGTGTGACTGTTGGGTCACGGCCTTAGCTTTATTAGACTCTCTAACAGGGGTTACAAGTGATGCTAATCACTGATCCCATAATGCATAAAACTAATTTCGGTCCTACAGCAAAACCAGCTGATACACATGGATATCTCAATTTTCAAAGGTAATTCATTCCCCAAAAGCTGTCCATATTTTGAAATTTCAAATAAAGAAAAATTCCCATTACTTGCAAATCATCCAATATCACAGTACCATTAAGGTAACAGAATTTTCAAAATCACTACTACAATTTTATTATAATTAGCCCACTGAACTTTTAAAGTACTGAACAAGATACAAAACAAATAAAAATTGTGAACTGTTGCATATATGTACATCATAGCTACTTTCAAGCCAGCGCAAATGTCTCTCAGGTGCTTGTCTCTTTCAATTCTTTCTCTCACTTCACACTTAACAATCGGAAGGAATGGTTTCCTTGTTTTCTTTGCTTTTGCAACACCTGAACCACCAGCAACACATTTGGCAAACACAATTTTAAAAATCACAAGATGTCTTTGGTTTAGCAGAAAAAAAAGCTATGCACAGCAAAAAACAGGTCTTACAAAATGTACTAATTTAGCATTGGTGTAGGGAGAGGTTGTTGCACATAGTTATTTGGTTATTTTTACCAATTATTGAAGAATGTCTTATCAATTATTTTCAACAGAAGGGAGATTTATATAGTGTACAATATCACTACAATATTTTAAATAATCATGATTAGTAATAATAAAAGTGCTTTATATTATATATTCTGTCATCTAGTGAATATAAAATGACGGATAACTGCATCAGTATACATGTATGTTAAAAAAATAAGTACTACAAGCAAATACTAAGTTATCGTTATGTCTAGTTATGCCATTTTGATGGTTTACTATATGTATGGTCTGCTTGAAGTACATATAAATCTAATCTGGCCAGCCATTGCAAATTAACTTGGCACTCTTGCAGTAAACAACATTCTTTGATGCTCAAAGGCTGCACCAGTTGGCCTGGTGTGACTTATTTGCCAGTTAATCAAGACAATTTAACTTTTAATACAGTATTCCCAAGCTGGTCGGTCAGGCGCTCAATCAGGGAGGATATCGTATAAGAACTCCAGAAGCCTTACTGCTCAGTCAAAAGACCTTACAGTATTTATTGGAGGTGTGAAAAGTCAACACAGTCTGTAACCTCTTTTAAAAGGTAGCTTTCCTGCTTAAACAGAACTGTGAAAATGACGCACTACAAAGCAAAGCAATCTGGTCTATATACAAACAGGACCATGTGTAACATCACCAGTATCCACCACATGAAGCCCGTGAGCCACCACGGACACAAACGATAGGCGCTCAAGACGTTTAAAGCACTATCTGTCGAGCATCAAATTATGTGTTAAGTTTTATTTTATACATGTCAACATCAACTAAAATATTACATTACAGCAATCTGAAGTCTGTTCGTTTTAGGTTTATTACCAAGTATGATTCTATAGAGAGGTGTGTGGGGATCATTTCTAAACAGTCTGAATGGGCACCACTCACACCAGGTGGTGCCCCCCTACATAACCCTTCTTAGCCTCTGGGAGGAAAACAGAGGTAAATTAAACGAAACGGACAGCAAATACAAGTTACCATGGTTTAAAAAAGGCTTCCCCTATGTACAGTGTATTGCAGAATTCAGTTCTTTACCCTTTATTCTATTCGGATTGAAAGCTTGCGATAATGTCTCGCGTTTCCTCTGACAATTTAACTCAAGTCAAACCACCTTAATATTAAGGATGCCTCCTGCTGGCTGCACTGCATATGAAGTGGTTCACAACTGGTTTAAAAGGTACTGCAAGTTCGTTAAACGGCGTGAAAAACATACAACTCTTAATTCAATATCTTCCCTAAATCAGCGCAAGGCATCTGTAATGTAGAAATGCGGTTCAACTTCTGAAAAGTACAATGTTCTGATCAGTTTTTTAAGTCACCAACACTGGATGACTGACCCCCCCCCACCACCACCAACACACAACCTTATAAATAATTAAATTCTAAATCATCATTTGTTTCATGGATTGTTTTATCAAGATAAATATGTAGAGCTTCCCCTTTCACCACCACCTCACCTGTCGTACGAGCTCGGTTTCTGGGGGCCTGTTTTTCCCGCTCCTTTCCTGACTCCGTGCCCGCTGTCCCCCTGCAGAAAAGCAGTTCTGTGCTGCGGTTTCCTCCCCGTCTCTCCGACTTGTGCTTCCAGTGAGGAGGCGAGTACACTGAACACATACAAAATAGAGCAGAAGGCAAACACTATGCACACAAGCAGCACACGCAGATATCGCCGCATTTCGATGAAAAACAAAAACAAAAACAAACAAACGTTAATTTCTAAACTAAAATTCCCAACATGAGAAGAGCGACAGAGGCAAGCCTTACAACTGCCTATGGTTACCGCAGACACCAGAGAAACTACTACCTCCTCCTCCACGACTGTCAAGCTAGTAGGCAGCACTGGCTTCTGGGAGGAAGAAGCTAGAAAGCAGACATTCAGAAACAGTTCAACAATGCATCATCTACGTTAACTAGCTCAGCCTTTATCTATAGGGGAATTCTAGATGTTTCTAAAGACCAGACACGTTTTTACTCTTTTAAGCATGTATGAATATTATTTTAGGGGAGACAACATTACTTCAAAAAACTTCCAAAAACAATGAATGATTTAAATTAGATTTATTTTCATACAGTATGTATGGAAAACATTTATCTGAAATAAAATAAGTTCTGCAGAGATCTTGCAGTTGAGGAAGCTGAACAATTTTAAATCTAATTAGGGTTTTTTATGTTTGATTTTATTTACAAAATTGAATTATGATGAATAGTAAAGGTCAGTTGTTCCCCTGTCACTGCCCATGCCTGTCTGGATGCCCTTAAAAAAATAGGGAAGTGTTTCAGCATCTGCATCTGAAATTACACAATGTGTTTGCTCTGACTTTACGCTTCATAGACATATTAAATTAAGTTCAACTTTAAATATGTAATAATTAATATTATAAGGAACAGGCACAGATTGATTCCACATTGAAAACGAGATAAAAATACAATGTCGGGCCTGAAGCAGGCTCAACAGCTTAAACATTTTTTTTTTATTTCTGCTTTGAGCATGTAATTATAATAATTATATCCATTAGAATACTATGTGTGTTTAAACTGGTAAACTCTGTGAAAACCTCTTGTTTAAGCTATTTGTGTTTAAATTACCGGGTGTATTGTACCATTTACACAACAAATATTGAATGGCTTTGTTAAAAATCTATTTTGCTTTGTAGAACATTGCACCTTAGAAAGAAGGCTTGTATTGAAACACCCTAGGAAGTCTTGTTTCCTGCTTTGTTCCACATTGACACACAGATGTAGAGCAACTCAAACTATAGAACAAAGATATACACTATCTCCACACATCTGCGAGTAGACTGTGCTGATCCCTCTTCCTGGAAACTACAAAAGACAGTAGGCAGATTTAAATTAAACTTAGTCAGAGATCAAATAAATTTAATCCATCTTAATCAGAGATAAGTTATTATTTGGAATCTTAAGTACAGATGAGGTGTTCCAATGTGTACTTCTATCTACCTCAGCAATCTGAAGAGATTTAGCTTTTGGGCATTATATAGACTTCGTCCAGTGAGAAGTCCAAGATAAGTATTGTTTAAGCATCCAGTAGACAGCAAATCACAAATGATAGAGATTGAAATCATATTATGAAGTTGCAGTATTTGTTGTCTCTTACAGTTAGATAAAACCTGAAATTTGGTTACAGTTAAGGTAAATATATAGATATCAACTAATATTTATATTTATATTTATATCAACTACTTTTGTGTTTTTTTGTAAGACACAAAAAAGAAAAGATGGAGTATACTGACATTTGCAATGGTATGTGGGCACAACATGTAGTAATTCACACAGTTATTTTATGATTACCTATATTATTTTGAAGTAAGGATCCCCTCAAAAACATTTCATGTGGTACACAGAACTGGACAACCCTCAATATCTCATCGCATGCCTCATAAGTGTTTTATGCAATGAATTTCAACCAACTGGGCCACTGGTTTCTCTTCCATCTTACAACACCTAAAACTCATATCCACCCTTATATTTCTATTTATTAAAAAAAAAATTAAGCTAAAAAGTTTTACTAACCATTATAGACCTATTAGTGAGACAGGATGTACATTTTACAGCCCCCAAAAAGTGAATGATAATAAATTAGTAACACAAAAAAACAAAAATTATAGCCATAAAACTACTAATTATTTAGCCTAGTAGTAGGGGTATGAGTAAGTAAATTAATTACAATGTTGCATTAACCTGACATAGAGGTGCAAACCCAGGGCACAGGGATTTAAACTTCACAGCAAGTTAACTGACTTTGATTTGGGGATTTTCACCGAAGACTGTAGACTGCCAATCAGTATAGTAGAAATACTTGTTCAAGTCAATAATACTTGTTCCAGATAGTTTACATTCTTAGAAAACCATTGCCCTTGTCAATTTTTTTTGGGGCCCCTTTGGATGTCTGCCTAAATGTAAGATCTCCAGTCCTCTATTAAATTTCTCAAGCTCTCTGCTGCCTCTGTGTTCCGAGCTGCACTGACTGAAGCTGTGCAATGACTGTGTGAGGCACATTTCAGTAAAACAAACTACAAAATGCCTATGTATCTTTGCTACTAGATGGCGCTGTGTCCCAAAATAGTTCTATGATCGGTAGATTTATAGTTATCGAAATAGATGTATTGCAATTAAAGTACACAATGCACATGATCACCCACTTTAAGCAACCAACCCCATGCAACAAAAGTTTGTGTTACAGCTTCTGGCAAACAGACAGATATTTAAAAAATACTGCCACTGCTGTTGCTACTACAAGCATTGTACCACACAGCATCAGCTAACATTCAATAACAATCTATTGAGAAAGGCAATATAAAGTAGTCAAAGTATTATTATGTTATTTAGATGTAATACAGAACAATGTTTAATGTTCAATAATAATAGTAATAATTAATAACTGCTTACACTTATATAGCGCTTTTCTGGACACTCCACTCAAAGCACTTTACAGGTAATGTTCCACTCCACCCCTCCACCACCACCAATGTGCAGCATCCACCTGGATGATGCGACAGCCCCATAGTGCGCCAGAACGCTCACCACACACCAGGGCAAGGTAAGGGCAAATGGGAAATTTTGCCAGGACACCGGGGTTACACCCCTGCTCTTAATATTCAAGCGAGAAAGGAACAATATGAAATATCTATTTACAAGTTGTAGAAATATTCAGATTTTCATATACACTATACATACCCACCAATCTATTTTCTAACCACTTCTTCCAATTTGGAGTCAAAGGGGAGCCGGACCCTATCTTAGCAAGTCACAGGAGCAAGGCTGGGTACACCCTAGACAGATGCGAGTCCATCACAGGGTACACACAGACACAAACACATACTTACATCAGGGTCATTTCTCTCAGAAGCCAGTATGTTTTTGGATTGTAAAAATAAATCCAAACTTTCAGAGAACCATGTTCCCACATGAACACAAAGAGAACATAAAACCACACAGATAGCACCCCAGTCTGGAATTGAACCCAGGGCCCCAGCACTAATAACCACTGTGCCACTCCATATATATAGCATACATATGTAAAATATTCTATTCACACTTATGAATACAAGTATTTTTAAATATATCTTAACAATGAAATAAAACCATGATACTGAAATAAAAGATGGACACCTCTTCCAAGACCTATCCTGTAATTTCAGTCTTTTCACTTTTCCTCAGGCATTGTGACTTTGTGATTAAATTTCATATGAAGTGAATGAGATAAATGTCTCTCATCACATCTTTATTTTCATATTACAGCACATATTTGTGCTGGGGTAGAATGGTGGCTAAGGATCTACACTTACAGATGGAAGGTTGCTACTGTAGTTCAAATCCTATGGCTAGCAGAGGAATCCTATTCTGTTGGGCCCCTGAGCAAGGCCCTTAACCCCAACTGGTCCAGGGGTGCTGTACAATGGCTGACCCTGCACTTTAATCCCAAGCTTCTCTCCTTGTCTGTGTCTCATAGAGAGCAAGCTGGGGTAAGTGGAAAATGCAAGAAATCGTATATGGCTAATAAAGTGATCTTATATTTATACTCGTAATTGCAACATAATGAACTTTTACAACAGTGGGTGTGTTTGTCAGGGGAGTGTTCTGTCAGTTTCACTTGAGAACAATAAACCTAAGCTTATTTCTAGAAGAAACAATCCATTTCTTTCACGTGAGATAGCTCAACCAAACTTCAAAGGGTAAAAAATACCCTTTTCAAATAACACACTGGAGTATCACATTTCAAACCAGGTTCTAGAAAAACACATTTGAAAATGTTAGAAGCCTCCTTTTTATTTTTATGATCCAGTAATACTATTTGTAGTTTTCAATTAATAACAATCAGCAATATTGGATGCCGTCTTCTCAGAATACTGCTAACTTATGTGTTATGAGGTATATTTAAGTAGGACACAATGCTCCTGAAGAAAAAAAAAAACTATTGTTGCAGTTTCTACATTAAAATACATTAACATAACATTTTATTAATCTGAGGTGTGCGGTCTGAGCCACAATTATTTTAGCCCCAGTACACCACACAAAAGTCTGATATATTAGACAATGGGGGAGGATGAGAAACCAAATTGGTATTAGAAGTAATGAAAGTTACCAACAATATAAATACACAAAGGTGTATTTTCTCTTGTTTCTTTCCCCCCATTTCTCCTTATCCAACAACAATGACCACAGGTAGTATTGAGAGTGTTTGTCAGGTCTTTAGAAGTGTGAATCCTTAAAATCCTGTGTTGACTGCAGGATCCTTCTGGTGTGAAATTAAGGCTAGTACCCGAATTGCATGATTTTAGTGCCCCTGCCCAAAGTGTTGTTTGGAGTTGATAAAGTGTTAATTTAGCTGTTTACAGTACACTGAAATGCTAAGTAGGTCTTCACAGCCTCCATTCACACTATCTAAATGATTAATGCTCATCACATTTTGAAAGCAGAAATGTCAACAGCAATCACATGGTCTGAATGCACATTTAAATAGGTTGTCTGAATAGGAACGTGATGACTAAAATAAATTACTGAGGTTGATTAAATGTATTCTTTCATCCCCTGTAAAAAAATGGTTGGTTTTTCAGAGTATATCTTAAAAAACATACACAGTGCTCTGTTCCAATGTATTTGAAAGAGAAAGAATGAGCATAAATAAATGTATTCAATTAGATTTTTCATTATTAGAATAAAGAAATATAGTAGTGATCAAGTGAATTGTCACCTATGACAATTATAATTATCATTGTTTCTATCTCTTAATTTCTTTTTCCAAAATAACTACAAAAACTGATATTGACTGTTAAGGGATAGACTGGAATATTAGTTTTGTTTTGCACAATGTTCATTTTAGCCTGATATATTGTATATATATACTGTATACTATATATATATAAGTTAA